AGAGAGAGAGAGAGAGAGAGAGAGAGAGAGAGAGCAATATTTATTCAGTACCTGTTATGACATATTTTAACAATTAATATACCGTATGCGTGTATACATAGACACAATTTAAGCCTAAATTTAAAACAACTTTTTGCTATGTTTTTTAGTGGTATAAAGTATAGCACATTTTGTCTATTGATTTCGTCACTGACTATTTATAATAACATTAAATGTATGCTTAGAAGAGACACTTTAAGTTGTAATTAATACTTTTTAATTAATAAATGTAATTAGCTAAATATTTAAAAATTACACGTTCAATGTTTTTTGTTATTTTGTTATCATATCTAAATGAGTCCTAATATTAGTGTTTACCACAAGTGTTAAACCAAAAAAAAATTTATTAAAAGTATTTCTCACACTTTTAATAATCAACTTATATATATATTCAGTGATTATTTAGCAGTTTTTTAGTATACATAAAATTGTGATTTATTTGAAAGTGTTTATTGATGCATAACATAAACAATATATTTAATATAAACGTTAATTAGATACTTCATGATAAAAATGTGAAATTAATGTTCTTAATATAAATATTTTTCAATCTTAAATGAAATAGTTTATATAATAAAGTTTTTGTATATTCCATAGTATACATTAAAATTAAATTTTATAAATATAAATTATGTGATGAAATGTGATTTAAAATACTATTAACCACTTTGTGTGTGACATAAATATGTAGCTATTGATTATCCGCATAAATATTAGTTAACATTTTGAAAACAATTGTTGAAATAATATAATAAAAAATGATCATCATATTTACAAATTAATTTTGACGTACAACGAAAAATTAATATTGATATACGAATTCAATTATATACTAAATTTATTTAATCTATTTGGTGTACATTATATCATAAAGTAATTTATTGTAATGAACAATGACCATGGCAGTTTCTGATTGAATCTTGCAGATGACTATCGCAACCATGTGTTTCTAAATTAAATACATCAAAATAATTGCACATTTCTATTTCATAGATTAATTTACGATAGAAATTGCAGTCAACTCCAGTTATTGAATTTACTTGTACAAACTACGTATGGTATTATACATATAAATGTAATTTCGAGCATACAGTGTCTGACATAGTAGTATTGTACAAAATAGAAACATTGTATTTTGGAGGTTATCTAATACTATTAACTATGTAATTAGTGTTCACTGAAGTGAAAGTGTACCTGAACCTAATTAAAAGGCATTATTTGCAGTGTGCGTACGTATTGTGATTGATTGCAAAGATTTATTGTGAATTTTGTCAAATATTTTTTAAACACATTGTATATATTTTATTTGATTTAAAAAAGTTTTTATTTCATATTTTCTGTGTTATTTATGTTTTGTATTTTTCAGTGATTTTTGTTTTTATTGAATTTATTTATACATAAATTTTAATCATTTTTAAATAATTTTTGAAATGTTTTTTAAACAAATTTGTATATTATTTATAATTTGTGGTAATTTAATGGGATTAATACCAGTGGTGTTGTGCCAGAGATCGTGGTCAGACATATTGGGCCCCGAATATAACAAAGACATTTCACCAACAGTTGATGGCCAACCAGTATGGGTTAACGTGTCAATGGCCGTATTGACCTTGGTGCCTGATGCAGGTGCGAGTCAGGTAGCTTATTATGTTTATATTGGTTGCGCAACTTTTAATAACACACAATTAATATTGACAGTCGTTTGTTGTGGACTTTTTCTATCAAGTTTATTGGTATGATTACCGACTGCGAGCGCCGGCCGGTGAGAAAGTAACCCTCGGCTCCCAATGGAAAGACAAACTCTGGATTCCCGACACATACTTTCGCAATAGTATAAGTGGAGGCATACCCAATGTTTTTCAACCCAGCGTATACTTTGCCATTACAAATGGCACCAGGGTGTTTATGGCCGCGAGGTTTCAGCTCAAACTCAGTTGCAATATGATCTTCACCAAATTTCCATTTGATACACAGATTTGCTTCATTAATATCACTACTTGTGAGTACTTTATTCAAAAATGTCAACCAAATTAGTTATATATGAAAATCAAATTAAAGTCTAGTGACTTAGTTATACATGCATCGGTATAAAAAAGAATAAATAAAAATTAAGTTATTTTAAACAATCATTTTAATCATCTCATCATCTGACTTAGTCCATAAGTTAATTTGCAAATGTAATATTTAAATAGTACAGTATTCTTATAATTATAGATTTACAGCTTATAACGTTTACTATGCCTTGCAATTAGAATACATTGTACTAAAATATTATTTAAATAATAGATTAGTAAATTTAGGTAATAGAAAAATGAATGCAATAAAAATAAATATATTTAGCAGACTGTAAATACTGTATTTGTATATGTGATCAAATACGGACATAAGTTTGAATCTATTTTTACGATCCATTAAAACACAGATAATAAACAGGAATTTAGTCTTAATTTGGGATGTCGAAGGCCAAATCGTAATTACTTTAAACAGGGGATAGGGCCTGTATGGTATACAATACATTGTGCACCATGTATACTATAGCCAAAAACGACCATGGTCTCTATTCTCGACATCCAAAGTCTTAATAATTGAAGTTTAATATAAAATACACACAACTATTGTTAACTCATTTTGTGTCCACACATACAGTATCGCAGACCATAGAAGAGGTCCGATTGGATTGGGACGTCTTCCGGATCGGTAGTCACGTGGTATTACCCGAGTTTGAGATAATCGACGGGTCGATAGGCGAATGCAACAAAACATTTCAGGGTCTCGGAGTGTTTAGCTGTCTATTTGTCACGATTAACCTTCAGCGAAATATCGGCAACTATATTATCAAACGATTTGTGCCGTCAGTACTCATCGTAATGATGACATTCATTGGCTTCTGGATCCCGACCCAAGTGGCACCGGCCCGGGTGTCCCTCATCATCACTTCCCTTCTGGCACTAATCGCGCAGCAAATCCAGGGCGAGATTAAGATTTCGTATATTTACGCCCTCGAGGTTTGGACCATCATTTGCATTGTGTTTGTTTTTGCCTCACTTATTGAGTACGCCATTGCCATCGCGTGGCCACACCTGACCGCCGATTCGGGCCAACAAAATCGGGTTGACGCCAATAACAGGCTGTCCAAAAGGCTGGTGGCATTTGTGGCCCCCGACGTGCGTAATAATGAAGTGGACATGGTTGCCCGGGTCCTATTCCCGTCTTGTTTTGTAATTGCTATTTTTGTATACAGTGTTAGCTATTATTTTGTGTGAATTGTTAATATTGTGCCACAGATTGAATCTCTCAATGTTTCCATAGGGTTATACTGATTTTTACAATAATACTATTTAGCATTTATTTTATTGATCAAAAATTATATACGGTAGATGTTAACAGTTGTGATAATAAGTTGTATATTAAAATTTATAAAATATAAATATTTTTATCATTATTTATATAAACTATATAATATCCAACATTTCTCGGAGTATTGGTTGGCTAACGTGTTGTGGGCCAACATTTTTGAATATGTGTTGGTTAATCTGAGTTAATATTGCCACATCAGTCGCATATTGTATTAGCTTGGTAAATTTTGACCGCATCACATCATGATATTTGTATCTCATTAGTAAATAGCGTTGAAGTAAATACAGGTATATGTGTTGTTGAAATCTAACAAGTAAGTATAATAATAAATTATACTTATATTACTAATAATTTATACATGTTAAATTAAATACACAATAAAAATAAATAAAACATACTTAATCATGGTTGAATTTACAAGTTTTGGCCGATCCGGATTAAATAAAATAATAGCCGTTAACTATAAATTAATGAAATTACAAATAGTGTTGTTAACTCTTTTATAAAATGATTATAATCATGATTAATTTGCGTTAACTTACAAGATCAAGAATTATTGGGTCGGATTCCCATTCCTGAGAAATATCATTAAAGAATTGCCGGTAAAATATGTAAGCGTTGTTTGGCAACAGTTTAGTTGACTCAATGCTCACAACTTTGGTATTTCCATCTTCCTATTAAAATGAATGTCAAATTTAATTTACATTGTAAATCAAATAGGCTGTATACTAACCATATTCATAGCCCAACCTCCTTGTTTATTATCATAGTATTTTAGGGACCGTATTAATTTTAAATCTAAAAATCCATGTTTTATGAGCAAAATTCTATCCGTTTCCTCTATTCTCGCAAATGCTGTCAAACTTTTGCACATTTTCACCAATCGGTGCACGTGTTTGTCCAATTGAAATACCTTTCTAACCATGTATCTATTAAATTCCTGGCGCGTAAAGGGTTTAGTTTTGGTGCCATCTAGATTGTCAGTGAATACGACTGTGGCAGACATCAACTCGTTCAATTTATTGGCCTCCCTTTCGTTGAACGTGTTTAGGTAATCGGTAATCGGTCGAGGTATAAAAGTCGGTACTTCATCGTTACCGTCAATTACAGTGACACAAGTGTTGATACAAATAGTTTTATTATTTATATTGTGATGGTTTTGTGTAGTGCTGTCGGCCATACATGTGGTCAAAGTAATTTTACTTATATTACTTTTATAGCCTTGTTGAATATCAGTCGTGTTATGATTGAGACTTATTTTTCTCATTTTGAGTTCTTTGTATTTATCAGAATCCTTAATAAATAAATAATTGTAAAATATAAATGTAAATTAAAATAAATATAAAATATTAAAACAAATAAATAACAAACATGTTTCATTCCCATTGCAAAGCATTTATTGAGTCTGCACTTAATACACGATTTTCTAGTATAGATGTCTATTTTGCAATTACCGCCAAAATTACATTTATACTCCTAATTAAAATATGAACAATAGTGATCAAGGTGATACATTGACACAATATTTCAAGGTTTCTCATACCTTATGTTCTTGTTTGAGGTTTCGACGAAAAAATGCTTTACAAGAATGACACGACAGGGTGTAAAAATTATAACCTAATTATAACAATTGATTAGTAAAGTAAATTATATAAGTTTAATAAATATACAAATACCTTGAGCGACATCACCGCAAATCAAACATGCGTCCGATGAGGTTTGTTTACTCATTATTTTATACCATATAACTTTTACTACTTATAATTTTTACAATTTATTAAACAATTATTACTAAACACATCTGTATTGCAAACCAGCGATTAAATGAATTATAAATGAAAATAATTCCAATTTAAACAATTATTTATAAGTGCACAAAATCCAACAAATGGCTAATTTAATCATTTGTTATAATGTATATTAAAGTTATAAGTAGTGTTGAAAGTTATATTATTAAACATAAAATACCAAATAAAAAACATGGCTTTATTAATATAATTAAATAAAGTAATATTATAAGGCTTTTTAGTGTGAAAATGTTTGCTAAAATTCTCATTTCTAATAAAATCTTAAAATCTTTTTAGATTTAATAAAAATAATTTGGTTAGAATTATACTACTAATAAAAGGTTTATAGAAGTAATATACTAATAAAGTTTTGTTAAAGATTTATAAATATCTATAGATTTAATTGTAATATTGTGTGTGTCTTAAATAGTTAAATTTATCAAACAAAATAAACACAATATTTAGTTAATTAATAAAACAAAATTACTGCCAACACTACTTATAAATGGCAGATAAATACAACGATAAAATATATTATTAGTACATTGATAAGCAGGCACATAGTACATTACAAAAATTTTAGTGCTTTTTAATGCAACAATGTTGTATTGCATTCATACTATCTTAAGTTTGAAAAACACTAAATGTATGTAACTTTTTTATTGGCAATTTCGTTGTCATACTTAATATTCTATATTTGTGTCTAAATCTAAATTTTATTCTTTATAAAATATTATTGGATTAAGCTATATTTAAATAACAATAATTGTTAACATTTTATTATTTATTTTAACTTATGTTTATTAGTTTTGTTTGGATGAGTTTATTGTTATAATTTATGTTTAAAATTATTTTTCTTTATGATTCACATACAGAATAATTGGGTCTTTCATAAATTATGACGGCTTTAACGCATCATTAAATTATACGAAAGATCAATTATAAGCTTGACTCTTTATTAAAGTTGTCATATTGTATATTAGTTTTAATTAAATTAATTTGTTAGCAAATATTATAATATACAATACCCATCTCATCTAACTAATAGATTTAACTAATAGTGTTAATTGATGTATCAATATTAATAAATCACTGAAATTTGTATTTCAAGTTGATTATATAATTTGATAATTTTGAAAATTATTGTTTTTTTAAATTATTTGCAAGTAAACTGAATTCAATTTATTTAATAATATTATGTAAATTATGTTTTAGTTTTATAACAAAATAATTACTAATATTGCATTTATACAATAAATATAGATTAGTAAATTAAATAGAAACTTATAAATTTAAAACTATACGTTATAAGTTTTAAAAAGTTTATTTTCAGTTGTGAATATTTAATTTAATGAATATCCGGAGTTGTTAGCAGAGGTACAAATCATTACTTGTTATTTAACCGCATTCATAGTACAATTCTATTGATATTAACAATAATAAAAGAATATAATTGCTTAAAGTTAATCAAATTAAATTTATAAAAATAAATACCTTCAATTTATCACGATCCTGCTGACTTATTGTTTTGGCCAATTGTGCAGATCTGTTATACATGTATCTGACTCGTGGGTCGTTAGTTAGTGCAGTATTAATGCAATTGTAAAATGGTTTATCACACATTATAATTAATTGTGTCCTTAATCTCCTATTAGCAAGGTCCACTTTTGAAAACGTGTTCACACTTCCAGCTTGGTTTCTGCATCTATTCATATAAGCATTTTCCAACTGTTGTTAATTAAGAATAAATTTTAAAATATGGTAGTTTATAATTAAAATTAAATTTCATTGTAAATTAAATAGCATTATTTATAATTAGCATACTCTTCTATTAGCTGACTTAAAATTAGCTGGTAAATTAGTTTTATATTGATTATCGCAATCGATTACTTTCTTGACGATAGTTGTGTTCGTCGTGTTTGGTCTGCAAAACGATGTTTTAAATGTCTGATTGAATTGCATATCGCGGTCGCCGTTAAAAACACCCGCTCGACAGCACACGACTATTAGTGCCATAAATATTATTATAGCAATTATACGGTTCATGTTTTGCCATATAATTTAGTTTGTGTGCAAATATAATTAATATGCTATAATTTTGAAATTATTGCGCATTTATATATTATTTCATAATCGTAAATATATTTTTAATGTTTAAATAAAATAAAATACAATATTAATATTTATTCAGCATAGTTAGCTTTAATATTATATTCCGCGATTATATATTTTAAATATTTATTAATCAATATTTTTTCACAATAAATTAGATACATTGTGAATTAAAGCATTATTTGAGCCTTATCGAATACAATAAAGCTAACTTGCAAAATCATAACTTGTTTAAATAATGTTTAACAACAATATAAAATAATATTTTTATAAAAAGATACAAAGCTTCAAAAAATCATTTGCTCGTCATTTAAGCGCATCGAACAGACATTTCTAAAATAAATAAAATATAGATTTAATTATTATAATCATGTAATAATGCTAAATTGTAAATTATACTTTTAATTGCTCATAATCGTTTTTATTTTTTGCCTTGCTCATTTTTTCAATTTTATTTAGCAGTTTCTTATCTCGGTGTAATATGTTGTCAACACAATGTAAAAATTGACCATCGCATATAACCATTAGCTGTTTCTTGCAATTATCGTTACTTTGGTCAACATTTTTGTATTTACTTAAATTACTTCCAGACGTTAAACATTTCTTAAATAATTTATCCTCGGTCTGTTTAAAATATATTAAATTTAAAAATTAATTCAACATTTCAATATACAATATCACAAAACAATAATTAGGCTTCATATTTTGTGAAATTAAACAGTATTAAGTTTATATGTATTCTTATATGCATATAATTTATGTATATAAATATATAATAATAAAGTACGGTTTATGTATAAAACTAAATAAAACATGATATGAAATTTTAATGAATTTTTAACTTCTGTCTAATTGCTCCACTTCAATTGTAATTCAAAATTAAGAAAGATTATCTCACTTGTCAGTAATTATTTGATAATTATTAATTAACAATAATGATTAAAATACTTACATCTTGTTTAAACGTTTTAACATCGGTTGTTAGAGTATTTTTATACATGCGGTCGCACTCTATAACTTTATTGACAACATTGGTATCGGTTTTATTTGAATTGCAAAATAATTTAACAAAGGGCTCAATAAATGTCTTTTCTTCATATTCATCAATAATCTCGAGCCCCCGACAAAAGCCCAATATTACCATTATTAATGTAAATTCACTCAAATTTATAAACATTTTTAACATGTAATTTATGAGGTTATTTAATTTTTCTTTAAAATTTTGGTAATATGAATAATATAGGAAATAACGTATAATATAAAGGTACATTAAATTATATAATATGCAATTAGCTGTTTATACAATGTTTTATACTTAATTACAATTTGGTAATTAATTGTATAATTATTATATGTGCATACTTTAGTGATATTTAAATATGTTTAAAGATAATTATCAATATTCAATTATACTTTTGTTTATTCAAATGTTCCTATATTATAACAAATTCATGGATATAATAATAGACTATTATTTCAAAGTGCATGTTTTGTTGCGCTAATAAATTTATTAAATAATTTAAACATAAAATATTTTAATAAACAATAGTACTATAAATAATAAAAATCTATAATATAGTATATCGTAAACTATATATTTTTATTATAATACGAGTATTCAATTTATGCATTTTATTAACTATCATTTGAATATTAAATTTAAAAATATCAATTATTTTATTTTTACTTTAAGACAGACTTTAAAAATTTGCTTATTATAGTCCGAATCATATTCACTTTTTAACCGCCTCTGTCAAACATTTCTGTATTAAATACAAAATAATACTTATTAAAATAATAATGGTAATTGTAATTAATAAAAGGGTATACATGAAGTTCAGTTTCTCCGTCCTTTTTCATAGTTTTTGCCAATTTCTGTCCTTCAGCCATCAATTCTTTATTGTCCATGATCACTTTCATACTACACGTGTGGTATTCACTATCACAAAACATCATCAGTACTTGTTTATATTTCTCATTACCAAGATTCACTTTTGTGTATTTCTTAGCCGTGGCATCGCTTTTAAGGCACTCCTTACTTTTGTCCATCCACTAAAATTAGTGTTTATATTGCATAATACTATTTATTAATATGTATAAACGTAAATACAGTTGAATTACTATCTTAAAATACTATACAATAAATATACAATACTGAATATAAATACTGTATACTTTAGTATTGTAAACGATAAGTATTGTTAGCTATGTGATTAATTTGATAAATTAAAACCAAAAATAGTTACCTTATTGTGAAACGCCAATTGATCAGCCGATTCTGTTTTGGTGTGAATGTCTTCGCATTTACTCAATTTGGCCATGATCGCATCATCAGTTTTATCAGGCTGACAAAATACCTTGGCAAATTCTTTCATCCATTTCATTTGATCCTCGGTTCCTTCCAGTGCTCCACAGCACTCATACGTAACGGCCATTACAACACATATTAGTATCAATTTGTCCATTGTTTAGTTCGGGAGACACAAAATGATCTAGTCACTTTAATTCTACTTTTGGCCGAGGTAAGACTCAAATATATAACAATTAATATATGGAAATAATTAGTCAATATTATATCTGTTTAAACAATAGTGATTGATAAGTGCATTTACATGACGATCATGGTCCCATTATTAATTCATACTGTTAAATAAATATTCATTAATTTTGATATTATGTAATCAACACATTGTTATTTCAATTGTATGACAAATAGAATATTCTGTACAAATATATCAATTAATTAAACCTGTTTTATAATGATATAAATTAATTAATGTTCAGCTATTATAATAATTGTTATGTAAAAATTAAATTAAATTTACGAATTGAGGTTAATTAACATAAAAAATAGTTTTTTATTTTCGTTTTTAATTTAGTTACATTAAGATGTATTTTTAAAATGTCCCTATCGCGCGTCTCCCGGCGAGGGTCTCGCCTTGATATGGGGAGCTCAAGGAATTTAAAACGCAATTAAACAGTATATTTGATGTAAAATAACAATGTAAATAATTTTGAATTTTAAATGGGTATTAGAGCAGATTGTTAATGTTTACCCAAAAATATTAACTCGGTAATCTGGCTTAAAAATATGAATAAGTGTTCTAAAATGCAGTTATGATCTTGTAATGCAATATAAACTACAATTTATATACTGTAATAATAGTTTAAATTATTATTTTTGCTTTAAAAACGTATCAAGGAAAAACTCAAGGAATCTTAAGGAAAATATAACTTAAAAGTACATTTCTCAAGGAAATTGAAATATTGATCTGGAAACACTACATCTACAGTATATTATTAATTTGTTTTTCATAATAAGCATTTTTGTATATAAATTTTGTAATTGACCATGCACATGTAGTTATTGATGTGTAAATTTAATTTATTTTAAATGTTGTGTTAAAAACTTTCTCTAACAATGCTTATATTTTCCATGTCCGAGCCTGATTTTAATTTAATTGTGTTATTCAGAGAGTTTAGGGCATATCAAACACAACTATGAACTTTTTTAGACATGGCATTCACTATGGGAGGCATGAGAGGGGGTCAAATATTTTATATTTCTCACAGGTATTGGAATAAGGCAGCTAGTTCCTATACAGCACTATGGCCTAATGGTTAGAGTGTCCGGTTACTTACCTTAATTGCCCTCGCACCATCGAAACGCCAGCGCACCATGTTTTATTTGTAATATTTTTACATTTTAATTTATAAAATTTTTATTGATAAAAAATATTTGCAAATTCACTTTTTTAAATACTGATTCATTAATTATTTTATAATTATAATCTCGGCTCGGACATGGAAAATATAAGCATTGTAAGGAGATCATAGAACCAACTCTTAATTACATATTCAATAACAACCAGCGTGACCACCTGTGCTCTATTTCAGAGAACAGTTCTCTATTTTAAATTTAAAATACATGATAGACATGTTACTAAATTTATTAAATATTTATTTATTCATACAATAATAAAGGAATTGACACTTTCTTGATTAATAATTGCCATTTTTATACACTTAACACAATAAATTTTACTTTAACATTAGTATTAAATAAACTCGATTTTTAAATTTAGAAGAAAAATTAACGTAAAATATGTGTTCTCTATTTGTTCTCTATTTTAAAGAGAATTTGGTCAAATGTTCTCTATTTTTAAACCTAGAGGTGGTCACGCTGATAACAACTGACCCTTAGGTTTGTTTTAATTTAGTTTCACTTATGGAATAAGTATTGCTATCTTTTAGATAATAATTTAGTTATTTTCTTATTTAATTTAAACTTTATTTGTAGCGTTAAAAGTTAAATTGTTTCATTTTATTAGTTAATACGAGTAATTATAATTTCAATATATAAGCGGTTTTATATAATTTAATGCAAGCAATGTTTTAGTAAAATGTTGGTAAATTGTGCATAAAGTGTCAAATGCATTTTTGAAAAGCATCAAGCGTGTTTTATTAATTTTTGGAAATTTTCAACGTTAGATATAAAGTTAATTTTACAAATCTTATAAACAATTTGCTTGATATTTGGATCTAGGCTTTGACGGCATTTTCTAGACAAGTCTGTGAAAGCAAAGAATTATTAAATTAATGATTAATATCTTAATTAATTTATGTAATAAAATTAAACACAATGTCATACCTTAAATTCGGCCCTTTGTTCGGGTGTGGAATGTTTTTTAGCATCAGGGTCTTTTTTCACATCACCTTTGGCTTTTTGGTACTTCTCGTGAACACACTTATGGAATCCTTTACCGCACCAACCCATCAGAACGTACTTGTTCACATTATTGGTCAAATCGACCTTGGTGTAAGCTTTCACATCATCATCCTTTCCGCACTCTTTATACGCCTCCATTGCCTGTCATTAAACACAATTTAATACATGTACATATGATTGAAACTAGATTAAATAATTTAGATTAATTAAACTCACCTTGGCCTCGTGTTCGGCCATTTTGTCAGCCGGGACATTGAAGAACTTTTTCTTGCATTCCGTCAACTTTTGAATCATCGCAGTGTTGGTGGTCTCGGGCTTACACACGGCTGCTTTCATCTGGTCGTGAAACTCGTGCCACGCCTTATGGGTCGCCTCATCGGCCAAACAGCACTGGTAACCAATGGCCGCCAATAAACCGACTATTATGAACTTGTTCATTTTGTATCTATTATATTCAAACAGAGATGATTTGTAAAATGGGGTTAGAGTTGAGCTTATATACCTACAATTAAATATATTGTGTAATTAACAATCAAATTAGAATATGCAATATTTATTTATATTTAATTACAATGTAGCTACAATTACAATTAAAAAGTGTAAATTTGATATATAACCATGTGTACAAACACTATAATAATTAAAATAGCATAATTAACATGGATAAACAATCCGTATCATGTTGTTAAAGGGTTGGAAATTATATATTTTTATCATTAGTGCTATTTTAATTACATTTTGAAATTTATATATTAGTAATTACGCTTTTATTTGTATTTAAATTATATTATAGATTTACAAAAGATGAAATGTACTGTAATGTTGAGATATAAAGTTAAGTGAATTAATAATGAAAATTCAAGAATTTATATCTAGAATTATTCTATAAATGATTAACACCACTACTTAAACTTAATCATAAAATATAAGTAGATTGTCTAGCCAATATAATGTACTGTACATGTACTGTATATGATGCACTAAACTACCATTTAATCAGTATTGCATCAATCTAATTATTATGTTTGTTTAATCAGAATTATTTATTTAAACCTATTTGGTATATTGGAAATTTGAACAAAATAAAACTATTATCCAGATTGGTTTATAACTAGTTTGAATTGACGTAAACATTAGCTTGAAAAATATGAGCTCGAAGGACAAAAGTTCAAAAGTAAAAATCTCGAAAGACATCAGCTTAACAAAATATATAAATTAATCTAAATTATATTAAATTGTTAAAATTAACTAATTTTATTAATAATTAAGCTAATTGGATCCGACTTTATAATTATTAGGCTAATAATTTTTACAAAATTATATTTATCATGTAGTTTTAAGTTTATTTTTTTGAGCTAATGTTTTGTGCTAATGTAATACTCCCAGATTAAAATAGTTTGTATAAAAAATAACACTTAAATGCAGTTTTTTATAATATAGAATTTATTTATATATTGAAATTAAAATTAAATCATAAAATTAAATTAGTTAATTTTAACAATTTAATATAATTTAGATTAATTTATATATTTTGTTAAGCTGATGTCTTTCGAGATTTTTACTTTTGAACTTTTGTCCTTCGAGCTCATATTTTTCAAGCTAATGTTTTGTGCTAATGTAATACTCCCAGATTAAAATAGTTTGTATAAAAAATAACACTTAAATGCAGTTTTTTATAATATAGAATTTATTTATATATTGAAATTAAAATTAAATCATAAAATTAAATATAAATCTAGTAATTTATAATCAACAAGAAATAAATAATTTTTCTTAAATTTTCTTTGTATTTGAATAAGTGTTCAATATATGGTTGACCGCATCAGCGCTTTAGGCTTTGATCGCATCAGTCAGACATTTCTAAAATTAAAATACAAACAAAAACATCATTAGAATAATTATTAATAATTGTAATTATATTTATAATATTTTAGATTTAATAATATAATTTAATAAATAGTCTCTAATAGTTATATTTAAAAGTAAACCATTTAACTGGCCAGTTATAAAATCAATTAATTACTGTTAGTACAATAGATTGCAAATTAGTAGGTTTAGAATGGTGACATACCTGGAATTCATCCTTTTTCTCCTGGGTCATTTTTTTATTACAGTCTTCCTCGCCCTCCTTTTTAGCCTTTTTGATTTTGTCGACAACACATGTGGAGTAACCATCGCTACAATACATAAAGAGAAGCCGTTTATTAGTGTCATTCTTGAGGTCCACTTTGGTGTAAGCGCTCAAGTCGTTGTCCCGACCCTCTGCACACTCCTTCCATGTATCCTTCATCTAATATCAATTATATGTACAATTAAAATGCAATTTTACCATCGTTATATTTAATTTGATGTAATTCTATTCACTTGTGTGAAACTAGAATTTGCAAGTGTAATACAAATAGGTTAGTGAAATGATCAAATTCACCTTATTCTCCCACTCAACAACTTTCTCTTGGGTGAGAACATGTTTTTTCCTGCACTCCACAATTTTGCCCATCAGCGTGTTATCAGTTTTGTCGGGCTGACACACACTGGTCTTCATAGTGGCGCGAAATTGAGCCCAATCTGAACCCGCCATACACTGATAGCTAATGTATAAGACTATCATCACAGACAAAATACCCTTCATCATTGGTTTTGTTTAAAAAACTTTAATTATAAAAATAATAATTTTTAAATATTAAAATAATTTAACTGCTGATGATTTTGCCTAACGCCTTGTGCTTATATACATAAATGATTTTGTGATGCATGTGTCCGCTAAACAAATTATGATTTACATTTTTTGACACATTTTTTATATTGTATTTGTGTTTTGAATAATTTGTTTTCAGTATGATCAAGATTATTATTCAAAAATCAATCATAAACTATATTTTCTATACAAACCACTGTTTAAATATATCAATCAATATGCGTTTAGACTGACAAAGAATTTACATTAGCCTAATGTTATGAAAGGACTTTCATGGTCGCCGGATATAAAGTCGATTTAAAGTGAGCTACAATGTATTTAAGTTAAATTTGTACTTTTATTAAAATATAATCTAACACTTTGTTTGATCTAATTTTAGACTATAATTATACAAATAGTTAAAAGATGTTGTGTGCAATCAAATACAATATCAATAGATATTTATTCACACTATAGTTAGTAAATATAAAACACACTAAGAATATAGTTTAATGTAAATTTGACTTTTACAGACTAACACTATTGTAAATACTTGTGGCAATTTGGCAAATAAGTATTGACATATTAATATATTTAAAATGATTGATATTCAATAATTAATTATTGGATTAGCATGATCCATTCGTAAGTGTATATGATTTATTAAACAGTAGATGTAATATTCACTAGGGCAGTAAAATATACAACAACAACCTATTGAACATGGTAAATGTACAGTATGTGTATTTATTGATTGATTTGTGTTCCAAGTTTGCACTTTAAGTAATACTATAAATGTATGCTATAATCAATAGTGTGTTGCGAATTAAATAATAACTTTGTTTTTGATATTTCGTCAAATCAATTACCTGTTTCTTGTAACTTATAATTAAATATAAATATTCATAAGGAATATCCGCATAAAAATAACATATTGTCTTTTCTCAGATAGAGTGATCAAGCATGTTTTTAGCATAAAAATAATTATCTTTTGATTTACAAAAAACAATAATAAATTAATGTAATTTTTATCATAATTACATTTAATTATATACCATAACTTTATAATATAATGAACTGTTAATAATATATTTGTAACATCTACACTAGACACTTTGAAAGAAAAAGTGTAGGTGCAGTTTGCAATTAGTTGGATTTAACATAATGTTTACCAGAATAAATAACAAAATTAACATATAGTAAATTTTTTAATATGGACTTATAGTTAATAACTAGTTTTTAAAATGCAGAGTATTAAATAAAACTAATAAATTTTAGCTATATTGCATATATACAAAACGAACATTTAATAAATATAGTACTCCCTTAGTAGTGTTTTAATTAAATTACAAATCAATCATGCTCTGATGTAATTGTTACAAATAGACATAAAAATAAATTACTAGTGGTAAGAAAAATGTTATTATAATTATTTTTATTTTGCTGGTAAACACTATACAACAGTATATATAATTGATTGTATAATTCCACATGGAATGCAATATATAATGTTCGCACAGTAGTACATTATTCAAAACATACGGAATATACTTATTTAATATACAGAATATTTGTAAAATAATAATTTCGAGACAAATACATATTATTTTGAAAAGTATTATTACGTTACTTTTATATTAGAATTTATTATTAATATTGTTTACAAAATATGAAGAAATTATTAAACAATTTACTTAATAAACAGACATTACTGTTAAGGGCTAGGGTATTCTTATGGTATTACCGTATACTTCACTCCACGTTTGGTGGCGTTGCCATAACCAATGATGGTGAATTAACTATTAATGTATGGCTCAAATACTACGGGGTCCTATTTGGCATAGGCATGGCAGCGGTGAATTGTTTCTCTGTTTATTTATACCAATCGACACCATTGATGGAAAATCTCTACTCCAACGGCTTTATCACAAATTATTACTTATCGATGGCTTTAAAGATATGCCAAGAGTTGCGATGTATTGTCATCTTCTGGTTCCTACAGTTATATGGGATTCAATTTTTTCACGTCTTTTTTATTTACCGAATCGATCGGTCGACTACTTTAGGTATGCTTTTCGTCGTATGGGTCGCACATATTTTCGTCCCGTTGACTGTCGGCGGCTATCAGTTATGGAGACTAAGCATTGACTACAGCGCCGGCGATCAGTCCATCAGTTTCTCCAAAGTGTTTTTTGTGTTAATCAGTGTATGTATTGTTTGTTTTATTTATTACAGTATAAACTATACGTTTGATTGTAAAATATATTTATTTGTAGGGATTTTTAACATTTTCAATTGGATGGTCAGTTAGTTTCTTGATGTGGAATATTTCACTCGTTACATATGAGAAGCTCAAAGAAATTGAGACAAACCTATTGGATTTAATAACGCTTCAAAAAATGAAACAAGGTAAATAAGTTACAATATTTAATAGTTATTATTAATATTTAAAATACCTTACTATTTAGAATGGGCTGTAATCTAAAATATTATAAGTACTGTAATATTAATCTGAATATACTTTGTAATAGATAAGATATATCCGATGGCCTATGATTATAAAAGATATATCCAGGTAAAAAATGTAGAAAATGTTGACAAACATTTGTCAACAAACAGTAGGCTATTCTTCGAGATCAAGAGCAAAGTGTTGGCGTTGGATCGGACCCTATCGTTTGTGACAGTAGTAGACATATCAGTGGCCATATTAGTAATTATGGTACAGATCTATTCATTGGCCCAAAACCATCCCCTATTGAAACAATACGGCACACTATTTATGTTCAGCACCGCATCGGAAATCACAAAACTGGTGATCAATTGTATGGCCAACGGTCTGTTGCACACCAAGAGTGACGATATCATGGCTTTACTCGATAACGTGGACCCCAATCGTGTCGATGAGCACCAGTTTCGGGAACTCTTGACTTTCAAGACAATGGCCCGAGAGGTCAGATTCGGGTTCACTATTGGAGGCTTTGCGCCCCTCAAGAAGAATACTTTATTAACGGTATTGTCTGTCATCTGTTTATTTCTATTGTGATTTTCATCAATGATTTTATTATTTGTTTTATCTAGATATTCAGTTTTATGATGAACTACACGGTCATATTAGTACAGACGGCTAGTCAATCAAAGCCTACCGTTTAATCAACTAATTATATTGAAAAATACTCATTTAAACTATGTTTTAGTTTATTTTTGCAACATTTTTAAAATTAATATTATTATTTTTTAATATTGTAATCCTTTTTTGTACCAATAGTAGTAAAACTATTACAGTATACCTTACATGGCAATAATAAAACCAAATTGTTAACATTATATTGTTTACACACGCATACAACTAGTTAATGTGTAATAATGATAACTTTTACTAGACTTACAGATTGTTACGATTAATATCTGTTATGAATGTATTAAGATTTTAAGACAATAAAACTAACAGCACAAATAGGAATATAAGTACAAATACATTAGGTACACTAATTAATCAATAAATCCAAAATAATTTAATGAGATACAAATTAATTGTTCAATAAAAATATATTTAATAAACAACCAATAATTAAGCAAAAAGTGTTCCGACACCGGGAATCGAACCCGGGCCTGCTGGGTGAGAGCCAGCTATCCTAACCACTAGACCATGCCGGATTGGTTGTAAATAGTTGCGCTGAATAAGCATGTAGCTATTAGCATAGATTCATTATGCTAATTATAGAATTTCACCACATATTTTGCAAATTTTAGTGAATATCCAGTGATATTATGATATTGTATATTACAGTAATAAAACAAAATCTGATTACCAATCCAATAAAATATATAAAAATTTCGTAAAATACACACCTTTTTCATCCACTAATCATATAAGGTATGGTTGAGGTCTGTTATAACCGCTTTTGTATTATAAAATACATTATATAATTTACGTTTGTCTAGAACTATACAATAATATAAATATTTGCTTGTCATAAATTTTAGTACTCGCTAAAAAATACTACTGTTAACAAAATTAGTTAGATTAGGCATTGTTTTATGGCGCACAATAATTTCCAATATTTAATATCGTCAAATATTCAATGAGAAATATGCAATACATATAAATATTTTTACAAAGAAAAATCACGTTGGTTATCAGATATTTTGTTATCAGATAATACACTGTGTATTATTGTATTGTGTTTTAACTAAAATAATGAATGTTTTAATATTAATAGTATTAACAGTAATTAGGAAGTGAATTGCGATAGAGATAAGGAGCTTATCACAAAACAGTGATGTGATGCACATTAGTTTACAAATTCATTTAGTAATCAGTGATTTTTAACGTCAATATTTGTATTCTTATATCAAAATTTTTTTTTTTTGCAAATTACTAATAATTAAGCAAAATATTCAGCATTTATAGGAATATCACAATCTGGTTGAAATAGTTGACAGATTTGTTTAGTTTTTAAATGGATCAACAATTATAAACTATGTCAATTTAATTATGTAATAATAAAGTCAATAAATAATTTACAAATCAATGTGAAATTATAAATTCATGAAACGTAATTCAGAAAATTATAATAAAATATAAGAATTGCACACTATTTTATTCATTGTGTACAGTTTGTTTTAAATTATATAAAAATAAATGAATAAGTGCAATACAACTCAACAGATTATTATAAGTAGTAGCATTTGTGTGTATTTTATAACATATTAATTAAAACATGTTGTATATTTGTTAAATGATAGGTGTTGGCACCTATTATGTCTGTAATTTTTACATTGTTAATATTACATGCCATTATATTCTATGTACCTAATTTTATATACTTGTTTATAGAAAATAAAATCAGAAAGAAACTTTGAGATTTGTTGCACCATAAATACATAATACTGTACTTCGTTATTGTATAGTAGAATTGTATTGATATCTCCTAACAGTACTTACAATGAATACACATATTTTTGGTAATTGAATCAATACAACACATTACTATCAATTATCGGTATTATTTCGGAATTAACGCCAGAATTAATGTTAAAGATTGTATCAATAC